TCTGTACATGTGGCGTTGCTCTAACACCTGACGGGGTGTGAAGATGCGGTCAACGCAGCCTCTACCCGGTCGAAATCCCGCTTGATTCTCACGAGTCAAGGTTTCGCGTGCCACCGTAAGACGACGAAGAATCAGTGAAACCAGAAGCCTTGTCACAACAGGAGTCAAACGAACACGTGGTTACTACATTTAACTGCGAGTGCCCTTTTTGAAAATGGTCCCAGTTGTCTGGGACGGTCATTTTCTTCCAGGTAAAGTCAAACAGGTTAGACAGGCGCTGGCTGAGAAGCCAACCGCCATCCTTGAAAAGAGCAGATGGAAGGTCGTCAGGACCAGCAGCACGATGACGCTTGAGTAGAGAAATGCATTCGGACACTTCTGAGACTGAGGGCGGCTCCATATTTATGGTCCACCTTTCTGTTGAAGGCCGGGTTTCTGGATTGGGGGTAGCAGGTTCGAAGTACTGTGCCCAGCGGTCCAAACGTTCTGCTTTGCTCCGACGGGAACAAATGCGACTTCTAGGGTACGTAAAACGCCCCACATCTTCGAGTCCAGAAGCATGACCTTACACTTGGTGGGCACAAGGCGTACCTTCTTTTGCTCTTCCCTACAAATTCCAGATCGGTAGGGTTTTGTTGGCAGCCATTTGAACACCCTGGTTTTGAAGACAGACCATTCGGCTCAATTCCTCGTCCTTAAGTAAACGAATAAGGGACAACATAAGTCGTATTACAGCAAGAGACAAACTGACGTCCCTGTGGTCGCGACATTCGTGTTGACCTTTTTGAAGATTCGCAATACTACCGATTTACCCCAGCTGACTAAGACAACCTCTTACTGATAAACACAAATAGGTTAGAGGATCAAAAATTCACCACCACACTTAAACAAAGCGGAATGGACATCGGGAGCAACAGTACGATAAGGCTTCAGTGAGTATGCATTTGGACATTTCTGAAGTCCCACATCCACAGTTTGGGTTCCTGTCAAAAACCGCTAGTCCGGATTAGAAGCAGCAGGTAGTCAACTGCATTGTTGTCCGAAGCATTGTGTCCGACAGTTCAAAAGTTCTTACCAAATATCAGAGACCGATTGCGATGCCTGATGCTCTATCTGACGAGTCTCCTGAGGACTAGTGGAACGAATCAAGTGGCACCACAAGACGGTTGATGTGGTATGACAATATTTTTGGTTGCGACGTTCACGCTGTGCGTGGGCTGGGGTACTGTTAAAGCATCCACGCCAACAGAAGACTAGGTTTCTCAACCAAAGCATTTGCTCAAAAGCTTGACCACAGGGCAACGAATTGCTGCCTGTACACTACCAGAGTAGTATGGATTTCAAGGAAGTCATCGTGCCTGTTCAATCCAGCTGTAACACCCTTTTATTACCCAACTGTCATGTCACCCGAAGGAAGCATAGGTGGCTGGGTTACTGTCAGGTTGTTCAAGTCTAGACAAGGGAAGACGAGAGGTCGGGTTTTAAACACGGACCCTCCGGTTAGTAAATTTGCCCTCCAACTACTGGGCATTTCGCTCGGACCAAGAAAACCAGAAGACTACGTCCGCAACAGACTAGCCTGGGATGAAGATGTGGGTGACAAAGTGAAACTCAGTTGGATAAAGGTCCACAGCAGGATAAGGTCTAATCCCTCTGCAGCTGAACGCACAAACGAAACCTAACCTGCAAGGCACACTTCTACTCTGTTGACTTCCAGTGACTCAGCTAAGGAGAAACGAGATATCAATTGGAATATAGCTGACCATGGAAGACCTACGTAGAACGGATGCTTGTCACGCTTTCCGGTATCTTGTGAAAACCACGGCAAACCCTGAGTTTGTTGATGCCTGCTTGCCCCTGTTTGCCGCAAACGCTCCGGTATCATACGCCGGACTTGAGCGCCTATGTCACAAAAATCATCCGCACGCCAATAATTTGTTGTTTTCCTGTATGAAATCCTACTTCAGGGGAAGACCAGGACCAACAGCCAGTTCTTCAAAAACGAATTCCCTTTCAAAAAATTACTGCATTCAGAAAACCGTAACCAAAAAAGCGCTTGAAGATGAAGACTTTGGAAGATACCGGTATCTGTGGCGCTCTTCAAGCCTTGTACGCGTCCAAAAAGTTGCTGCTCGTTCTGGGACATGATTCGTAAATTTGAAATTCACAGTAGTTCAAGAGCTTGCGGGCGCACCGTAGTTGAAATGCTACCTAAGCTGGTGAAACTGCATAGACTACTTAAGGTGACTCCGGAGGCCGTATAATGAAGTTAGGAATTTCACCAGAACCAGCTTAGTTGACGGAGAATATTGGAGTAGGCATACGATCTACGGCTTCGCAACTCGATGGGGGCTGGGAGCGAACCGTAAGGAAATCTGTACCTAGCAGGCGGCCCAAATTGATCGTGCGGAACACCAGCCAAATTGTTTGTGCAGATATCAGGGACTTGTTTCGCTTAAGACAAAAAGTTGGGAATGCTTAATCTTATCAGGTTCTTTGGTACAACTGTCTAATCAGCCGAGGGTTGTCTGGATGTGATTTGATTCTGAGCTGACATTTGAGATAAACCTTGAAAAACTCACCACCCTGTCTAGAAAGTACGTGCTCCGAGACACTTTCCATGCTCACGTTCACGTGCACTACAGGCTCTCAACAGTAGCTCATTGTATTTTCGTTACGATTTATTCAAATGAATGGAAGTGGCTGGACGATAGTGAAGTGTCTTTGTTACAGATGCGGGTTATTAAATGTTGAGTAAAAACAGCTGGTTACGCTAACCTAAGCGCGACAAAACGATTCGGTTTGTGAAGCAGTACAACCCGGGTTATGACATCCGAAATCTGAGGAAACTATCATAGTCACTGGCAGCATGGTATGAGTATGCTGCGCTACCGATGCGACTATGATGCCGAAAGCCCTGGCACTAGGCCGGAATTCGGTACTCATATCAGCTGTTCGTTTAGTTAGCACCTATACTAGTAATCAACACTGCCTAATTTCCCCTCTACCTAGCAAAATCGCATTCCTGAAGTACATTGGAACCAAGATCTGGTTGCCGAAGCCTGAACAAGTGTAACCGCAGTGGTAATGTTCTTAGGTGGGCGATAGTTGGACACACGCGGTACCTGTCTCAAGAGCCCTAATATGATGTATCTAACTTGCTGCTCTCGTGATTCTTGTTCACCAGGTGCTTCGCTGCCGCACCACTTTATTGGGATCACGCTGCAGCTAGATACTGTCCGCTACATTTGAATAAGTCCAGTGTCTGCAGATGGGACTTTCGACCAGAGAGCAATACTGCTCTCACAGTCGCCTCGTGCACATGGCTGTTTAGATGACGCCCATTGGAATACATTGTTTTTGCCTTGTTATTGTGACTTAGTAGGTAACGGTGATGTTAAATGAATTGCTTCCCGAATAGACACCCGCAAAACAAATGAAAACCTTTGGCGAAAGTGTGCGACTGAAACTACAAAAAGCGACAACATACCTTTGCTATTGAATCCAATTCATCGAAGAAGAGAACACATGGCGCGGCTTGTCGAGCCTTGTCAAATATATCGCGAACATTGGCCTCTGATTCACCAAACCACATCGTTAACAGTTCCGGACCCTTGATGCTAATGAAATTTGCCTGGCATTCGTTAGCAATCGCCTTAGCCAGGAGGGTTTTGCCACAGCCAGGGGGACCGTAAAACAATACTCCCTTGCTCGGTGTCATACCAAACTTGAGGAACTTGTCAGGGTGCTCAACGGGATATTGCACCAACTCTTGCAGCTCTCTTTTGACATTCTCCAAACCTCCAATATCAGACCAGGTGACATTAGGCACTTCAACGGTAGTTTCTCGCAGTGCTGATGGGTTGCTCTTCCCAAGGGCCCATCTGAAGTCATCCATAGTGACCGCGAGCGAATTGAGGACTTCCGCATCGATTGTATCATCTTCTAGATCAATTAGGTCCATCTTATTTCGAATTTGCTGTAGTGCAGCTTCAGAGCACAATGATGCCAAATCAGCTCCCACGTGACCATGGGCCTCATTGGCAATCTGTTCCAAATCCACATCATCGGCTAGTTTGACATTTTTCGTGTGAATCCTAAGAATCTCAAGTCGTCCAATGCTATCAGGTATGCCAATTTCGATCTCCCGGTCGAAACGTCCGAAGCGACGTAGTGCCGGGTCTACGCTGTTTGGTCTGTTAGTAGCTGCCATAACAATGACGTGACTCCGTTGTTTGAGGCCATCCATTAAAGTCAGGAGTTGCGAAACGATTCGACGTTCGACTTCTCCATGAGTCTTCTCGCGTTTCGGCGCGATGGCATCTAGCTCATCAATAAATATGATTGCTGGTGCATTTTTCTCTGCCTCCTCGAACGCTTTACGAAGGTTCGACTCGGATTCGCCGGCCATTTTTGACATAATTTCGGGTCCATTAATAAGGAAGAAGAAGCTTCCACTTTCATTGGCAACTGCTCGGGCAATCAGCGTCTTTCCTGTGCCAGGTGGGCCATACAACAAAATCCCTCTGGGCGGTTTGACACCAATCGCTTTGAAGAGTTGAGGGTGTCTGAGTGGAAGCTCCACCATCTCTTTGATTTGTGCCAGCTGTTTTCGGCATCCACCGATATCGTCGTAACCAATCTCGTTAAGCTTCTCATCTTCGTCCTGTTTGGGATAGGAATAAGCAAATAATGTCATACCTCTCGTTTGACAGGATCACCCTCAGTATGTATTATTGTCTCAGGTGCGACAATACAGTAAGGAGACGGATCGGTCTCGATCACCTTGAATTCAACCGCCCGCATACCACCACGTACAATAAAGATATCATCTTTCCGCACGGGACGATATGCCTCCACGAAGTAAGGCTTTAAATAGACTTCATACAGATTACTGAAACACGTGTCACACATTGAATACAACCCACCCAGTGATACCCACGATTGTATCGTCAATGGGAAGGACGTGAATTCGCTTGCCATACCCCACTTCCGGACATCCTTGAATCGTGACAATATCACCCAACCGTACTCGCAGATTGTTCCGCACACAGCGATTGAAACGAATACGGTCATCAGGACAGGTATCGTCCACTAAGGCGATACAAACGGTATCTCTTCTCTTCTTGCCCTTGATCAGTACGGTATCACCACGAAACAGCTGCAGTTCATCCATTTTCGCCTAGAAATCAGTAGGAACGAGCAAAGATCCCACCTGAGACAGAGAAACAACTGAATTGTCATCGTTTACGGGGTCATCAACAATCAGCCGATTCGGTTTTCGCTTTTTTATGTTCATGGTGTCCTCAGCTTTCTCCCTAAAAAACACGGAAATAGTTTAGGAGACCTTTTTTGGTTATAAGGGTAGCATGCAGGGAAACGAACAGCATACGAATCTAGCGCGAACCCCACCTCTTAGCCGGAGCCATCTCGCAAAAGCGGAATGAGGCAGAAGACAAGGAACCGAAACCAACCGCCGTTAGCAAATCGATGATTCAGCAGTTGGACCCAGTAAAACGGTAACACATCAGAGTATCCATCCCACATGTGCATCCAGGCCTACAGTTTCAACTCACTTCTACCCTTAAATTGATAGATTTAAGGATTCTTACGACGAAACAGATACGGCGCGCCATTTAATGTCAAACGCTGGTAAGCCTTGGGTAGCGGACTATAAGCCGCACAATGCTCCTAGCCGTAAAACTTTGTGAACGGAAGCTAAGCTTTTACGCCACGATATTGGATTTTGCTGCGTATGTGCTCAAGCAAAAATCCTCATTGATCTACGTTCACATTTTTGCAGCACACCGAATTTCATTGTCCACTAATGCAGCCGTACCTCTAGCAAAAAAGTCTGGTTGAATACATCCTCAGCATCGCTGATACTCCGGGATGCTCTGAAGATTGGAATCGTGCTTTGAACTCAATTCCCTTTTCTTTGAGTCCAAAAGGGACACATCGTAGCTTTCGAAGAGTCGATTCCATCGTGTGAATACTGTGCGCTACTGGGTAAGAACACTCACTAGATCTATGAAGTTACGGACCGATATACAGCACCGAGGCCTTCGTTCAAGCTTTCTGGGTCGGGTTCGTCTTTGTTGTTCAGCGGCTTCCATTCGCCCGGAAGCTGAAAGCTGTGTAGAACTGCTGTTTAATTTCTCCTTGTGGGATAGTAAGCTTGCCATTGCAGGACTCAGGTTAAATACATCTAAATGTGCTCTTAACTGGGTTCTAGATACAGGGCCAACAGCCATCGTGAATGAGTAGCTCTACGCACCAGCTGCCAAAAAATGCCTAATGAGGGTGTAAGCTCTGAACTCGGGAAACCTTATTGTATCTTTCTTTTGCTTTTATTATAACATTAAGTATTTTGTCAATTGCATAACCATTTTTTGTTTGAATGGGCAAACCTACAAAATCGCGCACGCAATACAAACGTGGTCACGTGCTCCGACTCTTTGTTCTGATGTTGCTCGCGCCAACAGCGGTCATTCACGAGTCTAATGTGCTAACTCTGGTATCGCATTTCAGACTATCTCCGGAAATTATAAATGAGAACTGCTCAAAAGAAGACTTCTGAGGAGCCATGATTTGACTATTGCTTACTCGCTGACCTGTACCAGCGACGAACTAGTTTAAGGAGAACAAATATTAGTCATTCTCTTCCATCTGACCTCTTTATTATGGCATACTCAAACTATCGTTACCATTTTTATTTCTTTGCTACACACTCTTAGTAAAGTAGATTTTTTGTTAGCCAGACCACTACACTTACCAACATTAGGGTCATCGGGGGAAATCTATTGACCAAACCTTGCTCGAAAAGGGCACAATAACTATTCGGTCTCCCCAGAGGCGGTGATTCTCCCGGAGGAATAAGTCGAGCACCACGCGAAGTGTTCCATACTTCACGGGTTTAAGGCTGGCAGCCATTTTCCTACAAGCTGGTTAAATGGTGATAACATCTTTCTTGCTCCCAGAATAGACAACTTGGTTGGCCTATTCAAGAAGGTGTTCAACGTAAGCTTAATAAAGTATCTGAAAATGTATGAGATAGTGAGGTAGGATGTGAGCTAAATTGTTCTTAGAAAAACGAATGTCTTTCGAGCCAGTTTTTCATGGTACATTGAGAAGGACGTGTTTCAAGAGATCCAGATACCTGAATCCTTTTTGTTATCCATCCTCATATTGTCTTTCTATTCACTCTCACCGTGCATAACAAATGCGTTTAATGAGTCTCCCCTGAATGACATGTTGACGCATATTTTGTGACTCAGAATGAGGTGTCAGTCGACGACGACTTCTTTACAGCGTCTACATGCATTTGGGGCGCGCTGGTGTTGGAACCTCAGTATTTGGAGTCAACAAACAGTAGCCACAAACATGAGGGAACATTTGCGAGGTCATTGAAGTAGAAAACAATCAGAAATGGTTCCAACGCTAGTCCTTGAAGACCCAAAGCCAACCAGGAAGTTGTTAATCGAGACTACCTTCACTCGAAATATCCTCCCTGTAGGAACGCCTTAATCCGTGGCAAAACTTTTAAAAGAACACTGCAAGGCTTCAGCTTGTGGTCAATCTCGGAATATGTTCCGTCACTTCGCCCGGTATGCTAGTAGGGATTACAGGGCTGTAGCTGCCGGGTGACGGTTAATCACTGGTTTCGTTAGTTGGCGCGACAACCTTTTATTTCCGATCAGATGGAACGCTGCCTTCGTCGAGTGACTGACTAGGCACCAGGTAGAAATGTTTTGCCGGTGTGTGCGACGTTCCCCTTAGGACCCCCGGAAGAAACACATTTGGCCCCAGCGAGTTGAAGGGTTGAGTTATAGCGAATGTCCTTCTAACTGGAGCAGAGTACAAACCTGTGAAGTGTTTTTGTGGACTTCAAATAACACTAATGTGTCACCCGTGGGCTTCTTGTTTCTGTCACTCATGGAGAAGGCGGTTGATTTATTACTGCCGCCAGATCACGAGTAATTGAATCGCACATATTTTGGCTTTCCGAACGAGGTCTAGTATTATGAATTTTTTGCGCATTCTGTTTTTTTAATTTGCAGAGCTTCTGCATTTTACGAAACATCAGCCAGTCTTGTGTGAGGTCTGTAGCATTTTTTCAAGAATAGTCAGGACCTCTTTTCCTGAACAGGCCGAATCTTTTTTGGCAGTTTAAGGCCCGTATAACCATGCCCTTGCTCCCAGGCGAAGAACACCGCATCAACCTGGTGAATTTTCTAAATAATTTTCACGTACGTCTCCAACACCGAAGCCAGTTCCAGTTTAAATTGATGAAGGGAGCTACTTATTTTTTGAGAAGCCTTCACGACAGTGTTTTCTAATTCACGTTTGAGGTTCCGGATTTTTGCTCCAGTGGCAGGTGGGGCTTTAATTAACCCTTGATCAAGTAGGTGTCTTGCGTAGGCCACGACCAAATCCAGACTCATCGTTAGATGGCCTGTGCGGTATCTTGTTAATGGGACGACATAATGAGTCCAAGCAGTGTGTTGAATGGCTTTGGTCAGCACCAGTGCAAAATGCTCACTAGGTATGCTGGGCTGAGGTTCAATCTAACAGGTTTGGGATGCATTAAAATTCCCTACTGACAATATATATGTGAAGAGGCAGCTTCCGGAGGGGTGTTGGGGTGTTTGCGTAAGAAACTGGTGGTATTTTCTTGGACTTGAAGGGCAACGGTAAGCTAAGCTGAGGAGAAAATCGGCTTCATTCAGCGGGATCTGAACTCATAGTGCATCACGAAAGAATGCAGGGGTGTTTCCGGAGATGAGAAACGAAATGGGCAAGGCCTCGCCGTTCGCACCAGTTTCTTTGTGTTTCGAGGAAGCTCCAATATATTGGGCCACTCTTTATCGGGATCTCTGCGGTGGAGGCGCCCGAGGGGAGCCAGGTTTTTCTCGAAGCGGCAAAGGACGGCAGTTCAAGGCATACTGGATGTTGAATATCGCAAGGTTTTTTGCCCTGAAGGGATATGGTCTTTTTAGTCGTAGCTGAAAATTTCGATTGACTCTACCTGTAGCTGGAGCATTACTTGTTTGGAACGACTGGATTCGCTGTTGATCAAGGGCACGGGTGGACGGCGGCGGGTAACGGTGATACCACTGATCGGAAGGCACGCGAGTAGTATGTGTGATACCACTGGAAGGCACGCGAGTAGTATGTGTTGTTCGTAGAAGTTCGCTTTGCGTAGATTGAAAAATGGAATTCTGTTGCGGAACTCGCTCGGCCACTTTGTAACATTTGCTTCTATTTGACCGACGAATGATTGGAGGCAATGAATCTCCAAGAAGACTCGTTCGGGAGAAGATCTGTGTCCAGTTTTTGTAACTAAGATGCAGATTAGAGTTTTGCTTCCTTGTTCACTGGTCTGTAACCGGTCAATTGGCATTTCCGAATAAATAACTCCGCAGCGAAGGTCTTTTTCCTTTCATTTGGTGCCGTGACCAGGATAAGGAGGAAGATCTCGTGGCCGCAGCCTTTTGAGGATGGGGATGTTCGGACCTTCCTGGGGGACTTTGAGGAGGTTGCGGAGGCTGCCGGGCTGGAAACCGGCCGGAGTAAGTTGGCAGCGCTGAAGACCCTCCTCAATGGCCGGGCGCGGGTGGCCCTGGATGCGGCCAGAAGAGGCCCTCGGAAGATGGACTGGGCCGCCTCGAAGGAAGTTATTGAAGCGGAGTTCGACACGCCGGCCAACCGCCAGTAGGCGGTTCAGGACGGCCAGGATGGCACTTGGATCTGACCCGACCGTATTCTTCGCCGGCCTGCAGCAGTTGTTGGATCGCGCTTTGCCGACGCTGGACGGAGTGTCGTGACACCAGTTGCTGTCGGATCAGTTCGTCAAAGGTGTGCAGCCCGCGCTTGGTGCCCAGTTGCGGTTGGCACGAGCAACTGGCC